CTCCAGATCTTCCTCCAGATCTTCCCCAGATTTTCCTCTAGATCTTCTCCAGATCTTCTTACATCTTCCACAGATCTTCCTCCAGATCTTCTCCCAGATCTTTTCCAGATCATCCTAGAGCTTCCCCAGATCTTCCTCCAGATCTTCCTCTAGATCTTCATAGCTCATCTGCCTAGATCTTCCCCAGATCTTTTCCCAGATCTTCCTCCAGATCTTCCTCCACTGGGTTTTTCCTCCGCCAGCGTACCAGCATAATCTCCAGCAAAACAGACATCTGCCTCTCCAGAAAAACAACCAGCAGCAACACCATCGCAACCACTGGCAAAACCACGAGCGCAACCACTATCGCAATTACCAGCGCCAACAGCAAAACCGTCACCAGCGAAACCACCATCAAAACCAGCAGCACGACCGTCAGCACATAGACCAGTGCAACCGCCAACAGAACCACCAGCACAACCATCAGCAAGAACACGGCCGAACCGCCAACGCCACCAGCACGATTGCCAGCACGCGCACCAGCACAACCATCAGCAAAAACACGGCCGAACAGCCAACGCCACCAGCACGACCGCCACCACGCTCACCAGCGCAACCACGAGCACGAATGCAGAGCGGCGAGGGAGACTGGATTCTCTTCCGTATCTTCCGAAGCCATTTCCAGATCTTCTTCCGTATCATCATCCTTGTGTTGGGCCAGATCTTTTCCCAGATATCTTTTCAGATCCTGCCCCATTTACTTTCCCAATACTTTTTGTCACATATCCTTTTCCACATATTGTTCTTCAAATCTTCTCCCAGATCTTCCTCCAAATCTTCCTCTGTATGTCTCCCGATCCTTCGCCAGGTTTTCCGCCAGATCTTTTGTTCTTTTCCCGGCAGGGTTTCCGTTGGATATTTGCTTGGTTGTCTCCCCAGATTTTCGCCCAGATTTTCATTCAGAGTGTCTCAATTGTTTCCAAGATCTTCATCCAGGTCTTCCCCGATACGTTGTCCTAGATTTCTTTCCGGACTTTCCTCGAGAATTTTCCCCAGATCTTCTTAGATCTTCCCCCAGATCTTCTGTCATTTGTTCCTCCTGACCTGCCTTTTGGATTTCTGAAACTGTTTCCTTATTTCGCCCCCCAGATCTTCCTCTGGGTTTGCAGATCTTCTTCCAGATCATCGTCCACACCTCTCCCCAGAACTGCCTCCAGATGTTCCGCCCAATCCTGCTCCAGATATTCCCTCAAGATATTTTCCGATATATTTCTGCAGATTTCCCACGGTTATTCCTTCATATATTCTTACAGATATTACCCCAGATATTCAGCCAGATTTGCACCCAGATCTTCACCCAGATCTCTCCTCCAGATCTGCACCCAGATCCTCACCCAGATCTCCCTCCAGATCTTGCCCCAGATCTTCTCCAGCCCCCCCCCCAGATCTTTACCCAGACTTTCCCCGAGATCTCTCCTCCAGATCTCCCCCCAGATCCCTCCTCCAAATCTTCCTCCAGATCTGCCCCCAGATCTTCGTCCAGGTCTTCCCCCAGATCTTCACCCAGATCTTCGCCCAGATCTTTCCCAAGATCTCTCCTCCAGATCATCCACCAGATGTTTCTCCAGATCTTCCCCCAGATCTTCCTGAAAATCTTCCCCAGATCTTCCTCCAGATCTTCTCCCAGATCTTCACCCAGATCTGTACCCAGATCTCTCCTCCAGATCATCCCTCAGATCTTCTCCAAATCTTCCACGGGAATTCCTCCCAGATCTTCTCCAGATCTCCCCCCAGATATCCAGCCAGATCTTCCCCGAGTTCTCTCCTCTAGATCTTCCTCCAGATCTTCACCCAGATCTTCCCCTAGATCTTCACTCAGATCTTCACCCGGATCTTCACCCGGGTCTTTTTCGAGATCTTTCCTCTAGATATCCCCCAGATCTTCCACCAGATGTTTTTCCAGAGCGTCTTCCAGATTTTCCCCAGATCTTCTCCAAATCTTCGCCCAGATCTTCATTCAGATCTTCACCAGGGTCTTCCTCGAGATCTCTCCTCTACTTTAGATATGCCCTAGATTTTCCTCCAGACCTTCCTTCAGATTTCCCGCCTGTCTTCGCCCAGATCCCCCGCACCATCTTTCTCCACATGTTCCTGGATGTTGTGTTTCAAACATTGCTGCAGAGCCCCCGGCCCCGCAATCGGCATCATCACCGGCGTAAACTTTATCAAAACCACCAACACTGGCGCCGCGCTGCGCTAAGAAACTGCACGCTTCAAAGCTGGCTCGTATATATATATATATATATATTGCCCGCGCCGCCGCCGCCGCGTGTTTTGGATCGTGCATTCAGCAAACAATGAAAGGAGGCTTCGCGCTTTCCCTTCTAGGAGTTTTCCGGGCCAAATTGCCCACGGTCCCTCATCGAACGAGCCGTCGACGATGGGACCAGAGTTTGAGCGGAAAGATGCAGTGTAGAGTTTGGGGTCGCCGCCGTCGTCGTCGTCGTCGTCGTCGTCGTCGTCGGCTCCGTCGTCACCGTCGTAGTCGTGGTGGTGATTGCCGCCGCCCGCCGCCGTCGCCATCATCATCGTCGTCGCCGCCGCCGTGGTCGTCAACACCGTCGCCGTCGTCATCGCCGTCGCCGTCGCCGGCGTCGTCGTCGTCATCGCGGTGATGATCGCCGCCCCCCGCCGCCGTCGCCTCCCGCGGCCAGCCGATCGGTACGATCGAAAAAATGGGACGCAAGATCCTCGACGATCCTCGACTTTCGTCGATCGTTAACGTTCGTCCACGTTCCTCGACCTTCTACGGCGATCCTCGACGACCTTCGACTCTCTCTGACAATCGCCGAGATCGCCGAGTATCTGCGACATGCAACAATCGTCGACCTATTTCGGAGGTCCTCGACGATCCTCGCCCCTCGGTCAGGCAGGCCTGGGGACAGTGCCGCTAAGATCGAAATGGGTACGGAAAGAATAGGCACGAGGACCGACAGCAGTGCTGGCTCACTCGGGACAGGATTAGTTGTGGGTGCCGCCGCGGGCGCTATCCATTTGAGGCAGGAGACCATCTGGCCAACGGTGGCCGCTGCCGGTTTCTGCCAATCTGTGCTGTTGCGCATCGTGCCCATCTGTTCCGTGCCCAGCTCGGGCGTCCAACTCCGATCGGCTAGACTCAGGAGGGGAAAAACATACAGACACAATTCATCGTCGATCCCCAGGAAAGTACGGGAAAATATCGGAAGTGGGGGGGGGAAGACGAAGTTCCAAAACATACGGGAAGATGTGGGGATTCCTGTTCTTTGTGTGTATTATTTGCGTGTCCCTGGGCCCCTTTCTAGACGTGAGAGTGACCCTTCGCTGAAGAGCCATGTGGCGCGTGGGTATCAGGCGTTTCCTACGGGGGGCGATAGATGGGGGGGCGTCGAGGGTTACACGTCGGTCGTTGGAAGTGGTATTTCTCGAATCCCAGATCCCAATCTACTCTAGGCGCCTTCCTGCTTCAATCGTCGAGTGCCTCCACCTGTTCCTTCGTCTCCCGGGGGCAGGCGGAAGCCCAGTCTGCTTCCACCGCCGTCCTCCTTCCTGTTTCTGCCCGCTGCTTTCGGCCGACCAGCACAGGAAATGCGCCCCCTGGGCCCGCGAACGTGCACGACTGGGTCACGTTCCCTGACCTTCCAGAGCGCTAAAAAAATAGCCCTCCAGACCTACAGACCCATCTGGACCGCTCCAAACCTCGCCCAGATTTGAGATGTCGAGGTCCTGGTGCTATATTTTGGCCCTCGAGGAACGTCTGGCTTTGTCACCCCCGTGGCGCGCTGCCCCGCCCCACGAGACCACGCCACGCGAGCTCCCGGGGGGGGGGAGCGCGGCCGGGGCCAAAGGAACCAGCCGCGCAGAGGCCGCCTCCTGTCGGCACGCAGAGCGCTCCCGCGGCCACGCGGGGGGGCCCCGCTCTCCGAAAAATCATGGCAAGCTCGCGCCCGAGGACGGGTCCGGGGATCGTCGTCGTCGTCCGCCTCCTGGCTTGTGATGTTCCAACCCGCTTCAGCCTTGATCACCAGAGAGAGTTTCGAGCACCGAGGAAAGACCGAACATCTGAAGGTTTTCGCGTGCAGGGCCATGGGAGGCGACACTTGTTCGATATTGTTTCGACACTTTTCTGGGTGCTCGAAATTATTTCTGGGATGTGGTCCGTAAGTGCGATGGGAGCAACATAATTCCTGGCCGTAATTAATCGTACTCACGGGAGTCCTCATCATACTCGCCGTTTTCCTATTCTTGTTCGTACTCATTTTGGTCGGATTCCTCGTTCTCCTCGCCAACCTGCCAGCCCATGTCGGTATCACTACCCTGCGCCCCTCTCATTGTCCATCTCCACCCCCTGCGCCGCTGGCCAGACTTGAACGGTATCGGAAAATGGCGATCGTTCAAGATTGAACGACCCACGGAGTGTCAGAAGGCAACGCCCAGATCGAATCGACGTGAAGTTGCCGAAGGAAGGTATTCTTGCAGCCAGTGTCGTTCCTTTCGTGGCTCCGATGGCTCCTGCGGGCGCTCCTTCTCGTGCGCGAGGGGCTCAAGGTGCCCACTGGGAACTGGGAAGCTCCATTGCTGACGCAAACGATGGTGCGCTTGGCGGAGCCCCAATCGCTCGGGAGACATCCAGCTCCAGGTGTCCACATATCCAGGGGCAGCCCCGGGCACCCGTGACGTGCGGCTGCCTTTCTTCAGGGGCGGCAAAGAGGGGGGTGATGACTAGGGGGGATGTGGATATCATGGTTGGGTGTTCGGATATGTAACAATTCAGAGGGGTACCCCAGCAGGTATTCCCAGGGCCAGGCTGAAGACAGAGAATGAGTTCTTGCATCGTCGCCATATTTTGGCTCAAGAAAAATATCCCCTCCCATCCATCACCAGAGTTTGGGGGAGGAGGATTGCTTTGCATGGTAGCGCGGAGCATGTTCTGATCCACGGCATTTTGCTGAGTGACTCCAGGGAGTCACGGGTCAGCTTCCGCCATGGAGCAACAGGTGCAGCTGCAAGCACAGCAGATTGCCGAGCTGAGAGACCTGCTGCAGCGACAATCGGCGGAGCTCCAGAGGATGGCCGCCGCACAACCAGCAGCACCAGCGCAAGCAGCAGCACCAGTGCCCCCAGCAGGGCCACGACGCATGGAAGGTATTCTGGACAGCAAGATAGTTGGGAAGGTCAAGCAGTTCGATGGCCAACGTTCGTCATGGAAGACGTTTGAGTTTCACTGGAAGGCCTACTTAGTGGCCAATGATTTTCGGTTTAGAAGGATGTTTCAGGCCATCGAGGACGAACCTGACGTGGCAATGCTGGTGAATGACGTGGGCAGTGTGGATAATCCAGATTTCGAGCCTCTCTCCAGCCAGCTGTACTTTATGTTGGTGCTGGCAATGCCAGAAGACAGCACGGGCGAGAGCATCCTCTCCAACACACCTGAGGGAGAGGGCGCCCTGGCATGGAAGAAGCTGTTGAATGAGTACTCTCCCAATGAGCCAGGGAACATAGTCGGACAGTTCAGGAAGATTCTAGGTACGGTGTTCCCCAAAGATGCGGACATCGTCACGGAGATTATGAAGTTAGACAAGGAGATCGCCCGCTACGAGAAAGCGAGTGGCGAGACGGTCTCAGCGAACGTATCACGAGGCATCCTCCTAGGGGCTCTCTCAGAGGAACCCGATCTCCAGAAGCACTTGTTCCGCAACCTTCGGAGTTTGCCAACCTACGCCGACATGGGAGCAGAGGTGGTGAACGCCCTTGCAGCCCAGAGGAGCGTGAACGACGACGCCATGGACATTGGAGCGCTCAAGGGTGGCAAGTCCAAGGGCGGCAAGTCGAAGGGCGGCAAGGACGGCAAGGGCAAGAAAGGCAAGGGCTACGACTCCCAGAACGCCGGGAAGTGGTGCAGCTACTGTGAGAAGCCGAACCACGTACGCTCGGAGTGCCGCAAGAAGGCTGCTGATGATCGGAGACGGGATGCAGAGGAGGCCGCGACGAAAGCCAAGCATGACAAGAAGGATCGGCAGAAGCAGCGGAGAGCTCAAGCTAAGGCTGGAGCCTTGTCAGCTGGCACAGCACCGTCACTACCGACTACGGGGACGCTGCCGACGACGACGCCGACGAACCCAGGTGCGACAGGTACAGGCCCGTCGTGTGCAGCGAGCAGCGCGAGCACGATCCCAGTTGGGCTGCGAGCTTTGACATCGAGCTCGGAGGCCACATCCAGCACCCTCAACCCTAAGTTTGTGTTCGGGTTAGAGGCGATCGAGGCCGAGGAGAGGCATGCGAGCATCGCAGCGGTCAGCCACAAGCCGAAGGATGCGATCATGATCGACAGCGGTGCGCAGATCTCGGCGATGCCCAGCCAGATGGTGTACGACGCAGGCTACACGATCCAGAGATCAAAGATCCACGAGCTGCATGCGATCGACGGGAGCAATGTTCCCCACCATGGTCGTACCGACGTCAAGATTCGACGAGGGGATGCAGTCCTGCAGCTGGGCATGGAGGTCGCCGACATCGAGTGCCCCGTCCTCTCCACAGACGCCATCACGAGGCGAGGCCAGTCCGTGTTGCACTCGCCGATGGGAGACTGGATCGTGGACGCTCCGATGCTGCCGCCCGACGGAGCTGAGGTGATCAAGCTGAAGAAGGAGCGCTCGGCCTGCTACTTGGAGTTCGACGAGATGTTGAAGGACGGCCAGATCGCCGGGCAGAGCAAGGTCATGGCTGCGCTCCGACCGCAGGAGTTGGAGGACTCCGTGGGCATCTTGGCTGCAGCCCGCAAGACGCTGGCACCCACGACTGCGCCGACGAGTTCGTCTGGGGCCCTGCCTCGAGCGCTTGGACCAGACCCCTCGGAGAACGTCACCCTGAAAGCGAAGGAGCTCACGAGACCAGGACAGCCGACGGCGCAGGAGAGGCGTGCCCATGCAGCACACCACCTGCCCTTCAGGCCCTGGTGCCCCGAGTGCGTGATGGGGCGAGGCCGTGAGCGACCTCATCCGAAGCAGCAGGACAGCCCTGAGCTCGACGCGGACCAGGTGCCGATCGTGGAGATGGACTTCTTCTTCGCAGCTACTGACGACATCGCCAAGAAGTACCCGATGCTCCACGGCTTCGTTGTGAAGCTCGTCGAGGCCAAGCGCATCCCCAGGGACGAGAGACGCACGATGATCCCTGTGCTGAACATCGTAGACGGGAGGTCGAATGCTATGGGCACACTGATGACGAACAAGACGGTTGGGCAATATAAGACTCTGTACGTGGCAAAGCTGATCGACTCGTGGGGTCATACCACAGTTGTTCTACTGACTGATGGCGAACCCGCTATCGTGGCCATAGCCGAAGATGTCAAGAAGCATCGGAGCCATGGCACCATCGTTCGTAAAGCCGCAGCGCATTCTCATCAAAGTATGGGACGCGTGGAAGGCGCCAACTCTCTGGCAGCGGGCCTCTTGAGGACCTTCAGGTCCGCGCTGGAGAAGCGGTTGGAAGTCACGATCGACGCCGACCACCCGATCCTACCCTTCGTGACGAACGCGATCGGCTGGTATGTCACACGGTTCCAGCCGCGGGAGCACGGAGGGTCCTCCTACAAGTTTCTCTTCGGCAAGGAGTACGATGGAGAAGTCGCCGAGATCGGCGAGCAGGTTTGGTATCGGATCGCTGGGCGGGTAGCCAGCGGTCAGGGCAAGTTCGAGGCCCGCTTTGCTAAAGGCGTGTGGGCAGGCAAGTCGGAGTTTGACGACCAGCACCTAGTCGTGGACTTGCAGCGCGGGCTCCTCAAGGTGCGCACGGTGCGTCGCATGCCCGAGGAGTTCCGCTGGTCCGAGGACCTGCTGAGGCAGATCAGCGTGACGCCCTGGGACCCCACGCCAGCTAGGGCCAAGGAGATTGCGAGGCCCAAGGGCCTCTACATCACAGAGAGGATGATTGACAGACATGGACCGACTTCAGAATGCCTCAAATGCTCCACAGGGCGAGGACAGCATTCCGACGCTTGCAGGCAGAGGTTTGAGCACATCGTCCAGGAGGAGCTCGAGCGGAGGCTCAAGACTGAGGGAGCCTCGCCAGCGACACCAGCGCCGCCTGGAGTGGCGCCTGGCACGCCCGTACCCGAGAGTGCGCCTGGTCCTAGTCAGCGCTCGCAGCCTGAGGACCGAGCGCCGGGCACACCGAGGCCAGGAGCGCAGGTGCAAGAGGCCACGGCGGACCAACCTCCCAGGAGCTCTGGCGGGAACATCCCCGACACGCCGATGGACACCAAGGACGACACGACTCGCAAGCATCAGGTCGAGGCTGCAGGATCCGAGGACCAGGGCGGCAAGCGCCAGAGGATCGAGCTTCTTGGTGTGAGGCCTGAGGTGACAGTCATCGCGGGCATGTCGGTGTGCGAGCTCGCGGTCTGCGAGGCGGACGACTCCGAGGAGTACGACCCCGTCTGGGACCCGATCCCCACGGCAGAGAGCCGATGCGACGGCAGATGCCCATCACATGGAGGACGGTGTGCACTTCGAGATGACCACCGTGGAGGCTGCGCCTGTCGGCTGTGCCTGATCCATGCTGCGCGCGCCGTGGAGGCCCCGAGCGCAGTGGTGGCAGGCCTGTACAGCATGTGGGCGGGCGGTCTGGAAGACGAGGTTGAGAGCCCGCAGATGGTCCACTACGACTACTACTCAGGCGAGCCGTTGGACGAGGAGCTCTACCAGGAGGGCAGGCGCGACGAGCTGGAGGCGATGAAGGAGTACGGTGTCTACACGGAGATCCCCATCTCTCAGTGCCAGCCAGGGGGGAAGCACGTCCGGGGCTTCCCGATCGCCCACATGAAGGGCGACAAGGTGCGCTGGAGGTTCGTCGCGACCGAGGTGAACGACAAGCACCGCGAGGACAACCACCAGGGCACGCCGCCGCTGATGGTCATCAGGCTGATCATTTCCCTCGCAGCATCCAAGTCCGATGCTGACGGAGTGCACCGTCGGCTGCTGCGTGTCTGGGATGTCCGCAAGGCGTTCTTCAATGCGGACTTGGACGAGCTGGTCTACGTGCATCCAGGATGGGAGCTGTGTCCAAAAGGCTCCTGCTGGGTTTTGCACAAGGCGATGAACGGGACGAGGAAGGCCTCGCAGCTCTGGGGCGAGACGAGCAAGGCAGCGATCGACGACGCAGGAGGCAACCCGCTGAAGGGCACAGCTGGGACCTACTACTTCGAGAACTTAGTGGGTGACGGCATGGACGCCACGATGTGCTGCCACGGTGATGACTTCTTGGCGGAGGGCCACCGCGACACCCTCGACGCCATTGGCAACTTCCTGGGGGCGAACTTCGAGGTCACCGAGTCCGAGAGCATAGGCCCAGGTTACCCTGGAGAGCTGAACTACTTGAAGCGCATAGTGGGCTACACGAGCGAGTTGCCCGAGACCAGGATGCCAGGCTTCTACTGGAGTGCTGATCCGAAGCACGTGGAGGAGCTCATCCGCTGGGGCCACAAGTCGGGTTCCAAGGCTGCGCCTACCCCTGGAACAAAGGCTACGGGGGCAGGCATGAGGAATGCCCTGGACCCACTGCCCGTGGCCGAGGCCAAGTCGACCTCTTCAGCGGCAGGACTGAGCCTGTATGTCTCGAGTGACAGGCCTGATGCTATGTTCAGCTCCAAGACGATTATGCAGCACGTCAGCAAGCCAAACGTCCTGATGAACGCACGTCTGCACCGGCTGTGCAGGTACTACGAGGGCGCACCGAGGCTGCTGTGGTGCTACGAGCTCCAGGACTTACCAGAGGTTCTCCGAGTGGACGCGGATGCCGACTGGGCGTCTACGACAAGCCTCTTCAGGACTTCGACCTCTGGGGGAGTTGTTCGTTTCGGAGGCCACACGGTCGAGGCGTTCGCGGTCAGCCAGGCAACTCAAGCGTTGTCGTCAGGAGAGTCGGAGTTCTACGCCATCGGGAGTGGAGCTGCAAGAGGTTTGCAGGCGAAGCACTTCCTTGGAGAGGTGGGCGTCACCGTGCGTCTTGTCGTGGCCAGCGACAGTGCTGCAGGCAGAGGGATCTGCCAGCGCCACGGTGTGGGCAAGGTGCGCCACCTCGAGTTACGGCATCTCTGGCTGCAGGACCGTGTACGGTTGCGACAGCTGGAGTTGATCAAAGAAGCGACCACGGAGATGGTTGCGGACATCCTCACGAAGTATGTGGAAGCAGAGACCCTGTTTAAGCACATGGCGACCATGAACCTGCGGCTCGTGCCGCTCGGAGCAGTGGTAGTGAGCGCGCTGCTACCGACGGTGCGCGGCCAGGAGACGGAGGAGGGCGCCAAAGGCGCGCCCTGGCTACTGATTGTGATGGCTTTGAGCATAGCGTTGCTGTCTTTTCTAGTAGGCTGTTGCGCTGGAGCCAGAGCGGGCTCCACTGCGGTTTGCTACGAGCGTCCCGAGACGCTGAGTGATGACAGTGCAGCTCCTGAGCAGACCGCAAGCGACGGAGATGCGAGAGTGCAGCTAGTTCTTTCAAGGCTGACAGTGCCTGACCTACGAGCTATTGCTCGTGCGAACAAGATCGGCCTTGGGGTGGGCTATGTGAGGAAGCAGCGCCTGATCGAGATGATCATCTCTGCTGGCGCGAGCCCCACCTGCGAGCAGGCAGAGCGCCTAGAGAGCGTTTGTGCCGTTCTTTCCAAGGCTGGTCTGAGTTGTTTTGTGCAGCCACGCCTGCTGTTCACGAAGCAGGGGCTGGAGAGTCATTTGGTGCTGTTAGAGACGGCTTGCACGCCGTTGCGGAAGATCTCGGATTGATCACCGAGGTTGGAAGCAGTGATGCAGTTTTTCGGCCCTTCACCGCTCCATGCCTGAGGAGAGGTGTTCGGATATGTAACAATTCAGAGGGGTACCCCAGCAGGTATTCCCAGGGCCAGGCTGAAGACAGAGAATGAGTTCTTGCATCGTCGCCATATTTTGGCTCAAGAAAAATATCCCTCCCATCCATCACCAGAGTTTGGGGGAGGAGGATTGCTTTGCATTGGGGCCATGATATCTCCCCAGATCTCATGGCGCCTCTTCTTACTTCATTACGTCCCTGGCCCCCCCCGCTGGGCCGCGCACATGCCGCCGGTCATGATTTGCACACCCCCCTCTTGGACACCCCCCTCTTGGCCGCTCCCGATTTCTGGAAGTCCCGCATGGTGCAGGGGGGGCCCCAGGCAGTCCCAGGCCCCTTCCTGCAGACAGCTCCGGGCGAGCACCGCCTCTGGGGGCCCGCGCGGAGGCCGAGCGACCGAGCAGCGTGCCGCAGGCGCGTGGCCGAGCGCTCGAGTCGGGCGGAGGTCCGCTCGAGGAGGCCGCAGATTGGGAGCCCTGCGAGGAGGTCGAGCGAGGCCGAGCGAGGCCGAGCGGTGCGCGAGCTCAGGCCGGGGCCCGGGGCGCGGCCTGGGCGCGTGCCTCTCGGCGGCCGGCCGCCCGCTTTCGCGAGGCAGGGCGGCGCCGCCGCGAGGGCCAGCCGCGCGCTGTGGAGGCCGAGGGCTCCCGCGGCCGCGGCGGCGGCGCCGACCGACGGGGGCGCCCAGCGGCGGCGCCGCCGCCGTCCTCCGCGGCGCGGCGCAGGGCCGCCGCCGCCGCCGCGCCGGCGGCAGCGGCAGACGCTCGGCCACGTCCGCGGGGAGCGCGCGAGCCCGCCGAGGGCAGCCCGCACGAGGGCCAGGGCGCCACGGCGGAGAGGCCTCGCGCGGCTGCGCGAGGGCGAGAAGGTGTCGCGCCACTCGCTCCCGAAGGACCTTCTGGAGAGCTTCTGGACACGCGTATTGGGAGCGAGTAGGAACAACGCTGGCCAGAACACGCTGGAGGGTCGAGCAACTCGCTTGCCTGCCCGCCGCCGGAACAACGCTGGCCTGCCCGCCGCCGGGACGATCTCCGGGGCTACCCTGCGGCTCCCGCTTGTTAATCTGAAGCTGCCTCCCTCCCTCCTTACCCCGGCGGTGCAGAGGTGTGGCTCTGAGGGATGGAGCCCCGAGGGCGAGCGGCCTGAAGCAGTGAAAACTCGGCTGGGGATCCGTCTCATCGTCGAGGGTTAAAGAAACTCGAACCTTACTAATACGATGATGAAGACGTAGCCTCACTGAGGTCCCCGTCTTCGCATTAGGGATCGGAATTCTGACCAGTTTGGTCCGATGCATCTGCAAAAAAGACCCCCTGTCCATAACGTGCCTGCCCTCCTAACTTAGGTCCCCTCCCAAAGGGTTAGGGGTCCTTTTTTGGTCAATCCTCACACTCGGGAGCGAAGGAAGGGCGTACGCGTACACGACGCCACGTTGGTTTCGAGAGTGCGCTCTGCGCGAGCGTCGGTACCACGCGGCCGGTCTCGTGGACTGCGGGGCCGTGTTCACGCACGTGGTCGGGCGCGTGCGTCCTTCTGTGGGCTTCCCCGCTCAGCTCATCCCCAGGGCACCCTCCCGCAGGACTCTGGGCCCCCACCTCTGCGGCGCCTGCCCCCCCTCGCACCGCCGCTCCTGCCGCCCTCCTGCAGGGCCGCCCTCCGCGCACGCGCCTCGGCGCCTCGCCCCGTTCCCGCCCTTGGCCCGCCGCCCCCCGAAGGCCGCGGGCGAGGCCGCCGAGGGCGGCGCCATGCAGCTGGGCCAGGAGGGCGGGCACTCGCCGCTGCTCGGCCGGCCTGGCCGCGCGGCCATGCGGCCGTACGCCGGGCGGCTGGCCGCGTGCTGCGGCTACGTGACGCTGAACGCCTCGGGCCCGCTGCTGATGGACCCGCCGGCGGCGGCGACGGCCGCGGCGTCCGTGGCTGCGACGGCGACGACGGCCCTGATGCCAAGCGCCTCGGGCCCGCGGCCGTCGCGGTCGTCGCCGCTCGTCGCCGCCAACGTCGTCGCAAGGATCTTCGTCGCCGTGGGCGCCGCCGCCGTCGCCTTCGCCCTCGTCGCCGTGGTCGCCGCCGCGCTCGCCGCAGCCCTCGCCTCCGTCGTGGCCGTCGCCTTCGCCGCCGCCGCCGTCGTCGGCGGCGGCAGGACTGGGTGAAGCGGCACCACGGCGGCCGCTTCCCCTTCAGCTCGCCGGCGCTGATCTTCCACGCCTACGCGTGCGCGGTGGCGCTGGGCGCCTCGTCCACGCTGCTCGCGGGCGGCCTCGGCGCGTGGCGGCGCCTGCTCGACGCCGGCATGCTCTGGCGCTTCGGGGCGGGCGCGGCGCTGTTCGCGCTGGGCGACACGCTGAACATCATGGCGGTGGAGAACATCCCCGGCGGGGCCGCTCGCCCTCCGCCGGCGCCGGCCCCCCCCAGGGGCAACGCTGGGGGGGGAAGAGTGAGGAGGAGGAGGAGGAGGAGGAGGAGGAGGAGGAGGAGGAGGAGGAGGAGGAGGAGGAAGAGTTGGAGGAGGAGGAGGAAGAGTTGGAGGAGGAGGAGGAGGAGGAGGAGGAGGACGACGGCGACGAGGGGCTGATGAGGAGGCGGGGAGGACGAGGAGGGAGAGAGAGATGGGTGGGAGAGGGGATGATGAAGGTTTTGCTGCTCCTCCTCCAGCCTGGCTGGGTTCCCCCTCCTCTTCCCCGATGTCTCGTCAGCCTTCCCCCATCGAGGCGTCGAGGGGGGCGCCCAAGATGTCGGGTGGCAACGTGAGTCAGGAGGGGAAAAAACACACAGACACAATTAATCGTCGATTCCCAAGAAAATATGGGAAAATATGGGAAGTGGGCGGGAAGACAGAAACCCAGAAAATATAGGAAAATATGGGGGATCTTTTTATTTGTGTGTATTTATTTGTGTGTCCCAGTTCCCCGTCAGTGAGGGGGGCAACTTTGCGCCCGACTTGGCCCTGGCCGTGCGGTTCGCCCGCGCAGAGCACACGCCGGCCCTCGAAGGGCCACTGCCGCCGCGCCGCGGCGGCCGACCTCGCGGCGTGGTCCTTGTCTGGCCAACGGGGAGGGGCAGGAGGAGGGCGAGGACGAGAGGAGGAAGAGGAGGAGGAGGAGGAGGATGATGAGGAGGAGGAGGAGGCGAAAGGCCGATGTTCGAGGTCTTCGGACGGTTTCGTCGGGCCTCGGCGGTTTTTCGGCCTCGGGATACCTTCCAGCGGCTTCGCCTCGCCGAGAGGCGTTCGGAGGTGTCGGGATCGTCTGGAAGGGCCGCGGAGGACCTAAGTTTTGGCCCGAAAACCAGACGACGAGGATCACTGGGTGGGATAGGCAACGGGGGAGAACGCATCATCTACCCCCAACCGCCCACTCATCGCGGACAGAGGCCAGGCAGCCCACCCTGCCCACAAACGCGCGGATTCACCATCTGGGGCCAATCGTTCATTTTGTTCCCCCCTGAGCTACCCCCCCGACAGTTGCCCCTCACCCTGGGCTCGGAGCGCCCTGCTATTTCAATGATCGAGTGGTTTGTCCTGCTCCTCTGCAGGGGGCGGGCGGAATCCCGATGTACGGTCAACGCCTTCCTATCTCATGCTCCGACCCGCTTCTTCCGACCGATGGGTGAACGCTTTGCAGGCAAGACGCTTCACAGGGCACGAGAAACGCCAGGCGGGGTACAGGGCTGCTCGTTTGCTCCTGTACGGGATGGGCTCCTGGCTTCGGCCGTCCCTGGGGAAACCACATTGCATCGATACTGCTTCTGCCGGGACCTCTCCTGGTGATTTCCATGCGAATCCAGCGTAGCCGACGAGGGCCTCCCAGGAGGCCGAGAAATGGGACATCGGGAGAAGGGTAGAGGTGTCCGTATATGTTCCTCGTCTGAGTTCCTCAGGTCTGACCGCTTCTTGTTCGGCGCTCTTGGAGGTAGCACGGTGGCCGTGGGACGAGCTTGCGACCGAAGAGTCGCGTGCGCGCGCACGCCTCGGGGTGCACGAGGAGGAGGAGGAGGAGGGACGTCGGCGGAGCTCGAAGCGGAGGAAACGGCCTACAGTGTGGACTCGCAAGAAGAAGCCATCTGCTTTTCGTCGGGGTATCTTGGGTTTCTTCGTTCAGGGTGCTCCGGGTTTCCCCTTGGGCGCAGCTCGAGCGCGGGTTTTCAGGGTGGGGTTTCTTGCGAGGGTGTCTCGCGACCGCGCCCACGCTGTAGACGTAAGCCTGTGTCTGGCGAAGCGCGCCCGGGGAGGGTGGCTCGGAGGAGTTCTTCGTATACGCCGTGTCGCTTGGTCGGCCACGGAGCAAATGAGTTCAGTGAGTTCAGCGAAGGCATTCGGTGTGTGCAGGCGTTCTAGCGTCCCACATATTGGGAAGCTGGGCCGTCGATGCACCGAGCTCCCTGGCCGACCAAGCGACGTGGCGCCCCTCCCAAGTAACCCCAGCCACGCCCCGAGAACCCCGCACGGACCGCTCGGACCCTCAACAGCGGCGGAGGAGGAGGAGGAGGAGGAGGACGAGGAGGAGGGGGGAGAAGAAGGGGGAGGAGGAGGAGGAGCAGGAGGAGGAGGAGGAGAAGGGAGGAGGAGGGAGGAGGGAGGAGGGAGGAGGGAGGGGGGGCGAACCCGTGCCTGTTCCTGATCTTCCTCCGCCAGCGGCGGTGGCCCGCGGCGGCGGTCCCGCGCCGGTGGCGGAGTGGCCTCCGCCGCCCGCCGCCGGCGACCTTCTGGCTCGGAGCGCCCGCCCAGCCGAGCGGCCAACAGGGAGGGGGCGAGGAGGAGAAGGAGGGCGACGACCACGACGACGAGGACGACGAGGACGACGACGAGGAAGACGACGACGACGAGGACGAGGAGGACGAGGGCGACGACGACGAGGACGACGAGGACGAGGACGACGATGAGGAAGGACGAGGACGAGGACGAGGACGAGGACGAAGTCACGGACGGGTAGGATGAGTCTCGCACGACGACGGCGGCCCACGACGACGACCACCAATGAGACCATTAGTTACCACGATGACGACCACGACGACGACGACGACAACGGTCGGTGACGCCGAGGAGGAGGAGGAGGAGGAGGACGAGGAGGAGGGGGGAGAGGAGGAGGAGGGAGGAGGGAGGAGGAGGGGGGGAGGAGGAGGGAGGGAGGAGGAGGAGAAGGAGGAGGAGGAGGAGGAGGAGGAGGAGGAGGAGGAGGAGAGGAGGAGGGGAGGAGGAGGAGGAGAAGGAGGAGGAGGAGGAGGAGGAGGAGGAGGAGCTGCGCCGTTACCGCGTCAGCATGATAGGCGTACCTTGTCGATGCCCGAGGCGGATTCAACGAGAGACGTGTTGCGCCAGGAGGACGAAGATGAAGAGGGTAACGGCCAGTGGCTTCAGCAAATCCTGGACCAAACGCTTGCACATCATAGAGCAAGCATGTGCGTGTCATGGCTTCCTTGCCACCAGCAGCATGCTGAGCATGATGAGGAGGGGCAGGAGGAAATGAAAGTTGAGGAGGCGGAGGAGGTTGGGAAAGGGTTGGAGGAGGGTCGATTCCCACAGCGAGGCCATGCGCACCGCGTATGCCCCGAATCGGATTTTGAGAGAGCTGCCCGCGCTGACGAAGAGGGCGACGGCATGGACGATGCCAAGGATAACCGGGACGACGAAGACGACAAGGAGGATGAGCACGACGTCAAGGTAAATGAGGAGCGGGAGAGGAGAAGGAGGAGTAGGAGTAGGAGTAGGAACCAGAGGCGATGCCAGTACCCGATTGATTAAGTCTCCCCCCCAGCTGAGAAGACGGACGAGACAATGATGCCCCACAGCAATGGACCGTATGCACTACATGCAATGACAAACTGAGGATCCCACCCACTTTGTGTGTTGCGATGTCAACCGAAACTGTGACAAACCCATTGTACACTCAGGCCCGAGATACACAGCTTGGCAACGCTGACAAGGTTGTGAACTTCACCCTTATTGTGAGCTGAAAGCCACGCAGGTCCGTCGCGACACAACACTGACTGTCACACCAAACCATACAAACTGAATGCTGTGAGAGAATGCGCCCGACGACTGCCGAACAAGGAAGAAGACATACGCCACAACACGATGTGCGACGAGAAAACTGGACAACCAAGTTGAATTGTATAGCGCACCTTTGAACGCAAAGTGTACTTATAGGCTCAAACTCACCACGCGCAGAGCTTTACAGTGAAGAGCACAGGCCGACCCGAGCATACGAGTAACATCTCCTGACACCGCTAGGAAACCAGCGGCTGGGCGAACGGTAAGACAGGATCCACCCGAACCTTGCTGCCGAGCCACAATCCACCCACCAAAGGTGTTAAGTAGCTTCACAACAGCCGCCCGCGCCAGGCCACGCAGGGAATCTGAAATCCGGCGCCTGCACAATGACCAATGTAAGTGGTGCACCTCCTCAAGTGCCACACCGACAGATCGTGAAATGAACGGTTGAAGTACAAAGTGCGAACATTACTGCGAAGTGACTAAGCAACACATCGATCGCCGCACAACAAAACTTGAAATACGCCTGAGGTGGGTTCGGAGGAAGGCCATTCGGCACCTCGCCCACCCCAGGGCGGACCGTGGCCAACACGTGCGGGACTCGGTACAACAGCTGCAGGCACCAGTTGAAGGTGAGAAAGACCCAGCTCAAGATGGACCTGGCCCGGCCTAACACCTGTAGGTGCGCCACGATCATGAAAATTGGTGGAACCACACTCGAGGATGAGGGAAGGAGGAGGAACAATCGGTGGGAGGAAGGGGGAGGGCGCGGAGGTGATTTGGAGCGAGATGCGATGTGGAGAGGGTCGATGAGGGGAAGGAGGAGGAGGAGGAGGAGGAGGAGGAGGAGGAGGAGGAGGAGGAGGAGGGGGGGATGATGATGATGATGGTGATGATGAGGAGGAGGAGGAGGAGGAGGAGGAGGAGGAGTAGGAGGAGGAGAAGGAGGAGGAGTAATAGGAGGCGGAGAAGGAGGAGGAATAGGAGGGGGAGGGGGAGGAGGAGGATGATGATGAGGAGGAGGAGGAGGAAGAGGAGAAGGGGCGTCGCTCTGCCCTGGTGGGGCCAGCGGATAGACGTGGCGACCTACAGTCTTGTCGGCAAGGCGCTCGCGATCGTCCTCACGGCG